CAACATCCATTGGCCGGATACCATCAGCAACAGCCTTTTGTGGGAGAGAACCAACCAGCTTCCAGCTGAAGAGGAAATTAGGAAAAGACGATGGAAATGGATAGAACATACATTGAGGAAATCATCAAACTGCATTACGAGACAAGCGCTAACTTGGAATCCTGAAGGGAAGCGGAAAAGAGGAAGGCCAAAGAACACATTACGTCGGGAAATAGAAGCAGATATGAAAAAGATGAATAAGAACTGGAAAGAGCTTGAAAGGATTGCCCAGGACAGGGTTGGATGGAGAATGCTGGTGAGCGGTCTATGCTCCTTCACGAGGAGTAACAGGCGTAAGTAAGTAAGTAAGTAAGTAAGTATAGTGATTTCAATAGTTGAGATCATAAGTCCATTGGAGCTAGACCACCACGGAAAACCTGAAAGCACTGGATGACCGTTTCGTCCCACTGTAAGACTCATCAGCAGTGAGCATCTATGATCCAGCCACACGAGATTCGAACTCAGGACCTATCGGTCTGGCACGCGAGCGCTTAACCAATGGACCACCGAGTCGACCGGCATCCAACGGTGTTAATGTCTAACTTCAACCAATCCATGAAATTGGGCAAAAAATCCACCATTGTCTTCACCGAGTTACAATCCCAAAACTGACCCGGTTGAACTCCACTGGTCACTGCTTCTCACTAGAACTCCAGGATATACATCTTGATGCCAGTCACTAGTCAGTATATGTTAATTCATATCAGAAGGGAGTTCGACGGGTTCTTTTATGACTTCATGGATTTGTGCCATGTTTTGTTCTGGCCGCAACCTAGCTTTCTTCCAACCTACTCCTACACCATAAATCATTGCACGTCGGGGTAGTCATTAAAATGTAACTATTCTTTTTTTCATCTTTTATGAATAGTGAGTTATTAACACATTCGCTAGCTTTATCCTTAAAATGTTACAAAATTTATTGTTGACATTTAGATTGCATAATAATCTTATAGTCTATGAATAGCACTCTTTTAGATATTTAATAACTATAAATTTTACTATACAATGATTCATTTCACAATTATACTGCTGGTATAATATAAGCATTTAATGCCAATGACGTCGACTATAGTAAAATTTCTAATGTAATATTTAATGTATTATAATTTTGATTTATCTTTTAGTGGTCAGTAAATTTAGTTTTGGTGAAGAAAGAAGAAAACATCTTTTTTTTAAAAAATTTTTTCACCGTTGTTTTTCACATTTAATAAAACTATTAAAACTCTTACGACGAGTCTAGTTTAACTAATACTGACTGATTACATAATAGTTACAATATTTAAACTCTATTTAATTTATTATTTTGAAAGTTATTATATTTTTGTGGTAGACTGGAAATATATTCTTCTTTGACAATATATATAATAAACATCACAGTTAATGGACAGTAATGTCATTAATAATTATTATAACAATAATATTAATAATAATAAGTGGATATATATAACAACAAAAAAACTCTTGTTGAACCAAATTAGTTCAACTGCAGGCAGCTAACTTTTGTTCTCCTCTTTCTGTTTTTTGTTACTTCAAATGTTGCGTGTAAATGTTCATCACTTTTTTTATTTTTCATACAAACTTTTGATGTTATCCGACTGTAAATAAGAAGGAATTGTATGTTGGTGAAATGCAGAAGAATAACAAAGTATTGAAATTTGGTGAATAATCAACAACAACAAAAATCCAGTTTGTTTGAAGTTCATTTTTTTCTCATCTTCATTGTATGTATGTTTTTCAGAAATGAGACTTCAAGTTTTTAATGAAATTTATTTACTATAATTTTGTATATTCTTTAGAATAAGTTTCATTCATTATTAAATGATTAAAAGATATAACAGTGTTTTCATTATATAGCTAGTTTATTTCTTAATTCCAAAAAAACTTCGCCTGGAGCCCCATCGGGGCTATTACCGATCCCAAATCTGGATAAAGGAGGAGGGTTGAGCATAGGGTTAGCAACCCAAACCCGTAGGAAACTGACTCACTAAAAAACAATAACCAGAAAAAATAGGTTCATTTCAAAAGTAATGAGAGTTTATTTTAATTATTGTTTTACTGAAACTTGATTTTTTTTTAAAAAAATTACTGGGTTTTAAATTATAAATCAATCAGAAAGATTAAAAATTTAAAAATAAGCTGAAAGAAAAATATTAGCGATAAAGTATTTAAAATTTATTTCCATGGATATAACTTTTGTATGCAGATACTAAAGATACTTAAGAAAAATTATAACTGAATTAGAATGAATGGAAATAACTAAAAAAACTAACATGAATTCAGTAGTATATTAACTAAACTACAAAATTCTACTAATAATGAGTTAGTTTTAAATGAATTTGAATAATGTTTCATTTCCGTTTTCCAATATATAAAATTAACATATAACTATAGATTTAATGTACTTAGAAGATGAAGATTATCATAACTATGTGATGTATACATTTCGAACTATCTGATCACACAAATATTCTTATTATTGTTATCCTTGTCTCCTCTTACCCCATTTCCAGTTTAGTTGACCTTTTATTTTTATATATAAATGTTTTTAACAAGTATATTTATGGTCAGATTGTTTGAAATGTATTGTGCTAATATATCACATAGTTCTGATAATCTTCGTCTTCTTATTACATTATCGAAATTTATGAAAGGGGCTAATTGCTTTAATGTACTTAATTATTATTTTGTTTTGGTGTTTTATAAACGTACGATTAATCATTAGATTTTATATTAGTAATAGTAATAATAATAATAATAATAGTGATAATAATGTGAATATCCTTATTAATAAGATTTACAAGCATCTTTCTAGAAACTATATCCAATTCAAATTTTAAAAAAAAACGTCTACATGATTATTTTATTTTTACTGATTCTCATGATCACTAAGAAAATTTTCTGGTTATTATCATTATTATTATTTTCAACTTGACAAGTAAATGCATACTCTTTAAATTTAGAGTAGGATGACAAAATATGTAAGATTCATATTATTTCAGAAATAGAAAAGATGCTATAAACATTTACAAAAAGTATTTTACATATAACTATTTAGTCAAGATATTAAAGGATTTCATTTAACATTAGTTTAATATACAGTTTGTGATAATCGGTAGAACTCGATCAGCACTAAATAAACTGAGTAATCAATTATTTGTGAACTTCTAAGTATTACAGGAAATCAATCCTAAATAGCTCAGTAGTGAATCCTATGAATATGGAGCTTGGTGTCACGGAATCGAATCCATTAGGGAGACATCGGTTCCGTTGAGATTACAGGTATGTTTTAATGATGAATGCTAGATATCATGAAATCTTTGTCCAGTTCGGATTTTCCACTGACTATCTCCAACTAATAAAGATAAAACATCTTGGAGAAATATTAATAAACATCAAACAATAGTATTTGTGAAACTGCAATTTCGATTTTTAACTGACTTAATAATAATGTTCCATTTTTGTTTAGAGATACTTTACAATTAACAGATGATTAACGTTTTTGTCCTACTTAAAACTCTTACGAAGTGTTCTAAGTAGAAAACGTAAAACGCAATGATTTTTCATGAAATGAAATAGATTTGTATATTTTATGATAATCTTCATTATGCTTTATACATATTATTACTGAAGTAATGGGAGCATCTTGATCTTGTAACGTAACTATGATGAATGAGTACCGTTGAAAATTTATAAACATAATAAACACATACCATCATCATATCGAAATTATATTGTTATTAACATTACATCTAATGCTAACTTTATTTTAATTCCTTTATACTCATTGAGCCATATTGATTCTAACTCATAAGAAAATCAAGTGTATCATATGATTATTGGAATAAAGTGAATATATAAGGTTTTCAGAAAACAGTCCCTACTGAATTGATAGGGTGTCTAGATGAATGAGCAAGTTAATTATGAATACATATTCAACAATTAATCGATTTCAATAGTTGAAATCATGAGTCAATTGGAGCTAGACCATCATGGAAAACCTGGAAGCACTGGATGACTGTTTCGTCCTAGTATGGAACACCTCACCAGTGCGCATCCACTATCCCGCCCCCCGTGAGATTCGAACCCAGTACCTATCAGTCTTGCAAGCGAGCGCATACCATTAGACCACTAAGTCGGCATCCAACGGTGTTAATGTCTAACTTCAACTGATCCACGAAATTGCGCGACCGTACACCATTGTCTTCAGTGAGCTGATATCTCACAACAGATCTGGTTAGACTCTACTGTTTACGGCTTCTCACTAGAACTCCAGGAGTGTCTCTTGAAGTCAGTCACTAGTGAGTAGATGATTATTATCAGAATTGAATAGATTATTAATTAGGATTACAGATATAAGAAAATACTTTAATGATTTCATCAGAAAATATGTTACACGGAAAACTAAAATTTTACTTAGTAACAAATGTGAACTAAATAAATTTATCTTACAATTTAGGGTTAAAATTACTAACTTATACATTCTCTTTTTATTATTGGTTAAATAATAAGATTCATTCTAAGAATTTAAAATAATCTATCCTTTAAATATCTTTATCTATATTTACCTGCTTTATTTTACTGTCCCTACTCATATATATTTTTTTAAATATCATACTGACTAAATAATAATCACATTATTATTAAGGGGATGTATATTATTAACCAATACTATCTCGTTAAAAATAAAACTTACTTATTGTGTATAAAGGAGAAAAACATCTAGGGGGAAATTATTATTCTTATAGCTTATTAACGGGATTGGTTAAAAAAAAACATCAAACGTATGACTTTTAAATCATAAATCTCTCATAGGTTTAAGAAAAATATAAATATACACAAGATAAGTAGATAGTAAACGTGATAAAATCTTTGTTACAACTTATAAAGTGAATATTAAAAATTTTCCAAAGGGTAAATATACATATTCTCTATTTCATCCTCTTATTCTATTTTATTTGTAGATGATGATTACATACATTTTCATTTGTGCATTATTATTACCTACCATTATGAGTTCTTCTAAATTTAATACAGTCGGATTAATATATCCTAACCTTTCAAAATCAGAAGGTACAAAAATCAACCTAAGTATTCCATCTAACAAAGGTTACGTTATAAAAACAATAACCAGTGCACCACTATATCGAATTGTTAGTTATTTCACTAATCGCACAGAAGAAAGTGAAGCAAAAGTGCATGATTTAAACATTCCTTACTCAATGTATTATACACATATATATCTTGCTTGGAAATCTGCTGATCAATTGCTATCCTCTGTAAGTGTTTTTATTTTCTTCATCCGTCTTTAAAATATATATAAGCTTGAGAGTTTTACTGAGATGTATGAAAATAATATCTCTTATGTTCTTTACTAATTTTAACCGCTTGTATGTTGTTGAACATAAGTGATTATTTTACATTAGTTATTTAGGTATTCTGACATATACTTACCTCATGGTTATTATCATATTTTTTGACCTTTTTTTCTTAGATAACTCTACAATCTGATAATTCAGAAAGTAAATTGAATGGTGCTAATTTAGTTTTAATAACATCTAAACTAGGTGATATGTATGCACCTGGTATGATAACATCAGTTCTTGACTTTGTTACTAAATGTTATGAATGGGCTAAACCAAATACTCGACGAATACCATCTAGCTCAGCATATGTATCAACGCTTAGAGTTGCGTCGAAAGATGAAATTAATCGAGCATTGATTGAATATACAGCGGAACAATTTTCAAGAGCCACAACTTATGGGTCATATCATTTTGTTTGGGAAAGGGATTCACAAATGGTAAGTAAATATTATTTTAAATTAAATATTTTAAAATAAAACTATTTTATAAAATTAATAAAATAACAAACAAATCAAAGAATATGTTGAGAGTATAAGATAAAGTACATAAACTTTAACATTTCTATTTGGTTGATTTTACATGGGAAAGAAGTACTTTTAATGTTAAATGAATTCAAATGAATGAAGTTAACTAATGTAAACATATCTACAATAACCCATTACGTCATTGAATAAGAAAAAGAGAATCCAACAAAGAAAATTTTCTTCTCAACGAAATAATTTTTATCCTTCTATAGACATATGTTTTCCATATAAGTATATATGCATGTATAGCTTAAGTCAATGATTTCGTTGAAAAGAAAATTTTGATGAGACTATAATTCATGAGCGACCTTTGAGTAACGCTAAACTGAATTTGAGAGTGTCCACCTAATAACTAGAACCAAATGAATATTATAAACCAATGTAAGGAATTAGAATTATGATTTACATTTGATGGTTAAGGTTAGGAATTAGATTTAGGATTTTCATCACAAAATGACATCAGTTATAATGTCAAAACTCTATTTAACTAAATAAATGAGTGAATTTCGCGCCTAAATTCAAGACCTGTTATCTTATACCTGATTAGTTCGTCCATAAATTATAGTCTCACCAAAGTTTTCTTCACTAAATTCTCTTTTTCATAAACATATCGTAATATTCTTTAAAATATCATTACAGAGTATATTCAATAGAATTTAGATGTATATCTAATTGATTACATATAATTGATCATTCCAAGTAGTAGATTATAATGTTGTTATTGCTAAGTTTATTTATGCTAAAAATGGATTGTATTGTATTTATAATTAAAAAGATCCATATCTTCCGTTACATCATTTAAAAACAATATGACATAATACTACTAACAACAAACTAATACTCAAATGTGTTTAATAGAATATATCAATCAATGGGAATTTATTAGAGGTATGTATTATGAAAATTAAAAAAATAATGATATTTCTATGAAGTACAATCTTTCTACTTAAAAATATATTAACTTTAAAATGTTACTTATTGAATTAATTTTATTTCAGAAAGAATTTATGAAAAGATTAAATTATGAACAAATTGCATGTGGTGGAAATCATTCACTTTATAATCCATGTGATTGGACATTAATGGGTTTAAAACCAGAAATAGCTAAAGAACAATGCCTATATAGACTTATCAATAAAAAATCAAATATTTATTAAATATTTAATTATTTATCAGTTTTCTCTTATATCAAATCAAAACTTTCTCATCAGGGAATAAAAGCATCTAATTGAAATGAACATTTGTAAAAATTATAAAAATCAATACTTCAGAGTATGACTATACGAATATATCTATTTATAAATACTGACAATATTAACTCTAACACAAAAAATCACTGTTTTTGCCTTCTCACACTATAGATTTTTTTGTCTTACATGTTATCAATCATATAAATGCATTTCATATTAGTACGTTACATCATCAATAAACAATAATTGTTTGTTTCTTTTCTTTCTAATCATCTTGCCTTTTCATTTCACTGCTAAATTCATGCATGTTTATGTTTTTGTTGGTCTTTTTCTCTTTCTCCCTTTCTCTCTCTGTGAAATTTCCGATTACCTCTTGCTTGCTATTAACATTATTTAAAGTATTTAACTAAATATCTTGTTCATTCATTTATGTTAAGTTACATAATTATTAACACTATTTTTAAATCTACATTTTTTTCTAAATATTCGATTTTTGTTTTCTTTCAGACAATGTTGAATAATAATTAAAATCAATATGGTCAGTATCTATGCCTTTTATTTTCTTACACTAAGTATATTTTATAATTAGTTTCAAAAAGATAAAAAAAATCAATGTTCATTCGTATCACAAGCTTTGCTATAGACAAATTGATAGAAAATAAACGTTGGTTTAATGAAATGTAATACATTGATATCAATAGTTAAAATCATGAGCTAGACCACCATGGAAAACCTATAAGCAATGGACGGCCGTTTCGTCCTAGTATAGACAAGACTGATAGGTCCTGTGTTCGACTCTAGCGGGGGGTGGGATCGTGGATGCGCACTGCTGAGGAGTCCCATACTAGGACAAAACGGCCGTCCAGTGCTTCCAGGTTTTTCATGGTGATCCAGCTTTAATTGACTTATGATTTCAACTATTGAAATTACTAAAATCTCCACAAAACCCCTTCTGACAATGATATTAGTTTTAACTATTGATAAAGTTTATTCTTCGTAAACGTTTAATTCTTATTTGTACATCGTTTTTTTGTTGTTGTGAGAATTATGAAATATGCAAAAGCAAATTAGAATGGTTTATATTTACATTATAAAAATGAATGAACATACGGACATGAATATAACTGATAAAGTTAAATGGTTACTTGAAGAGTAAACATTTAAAAATAATCGAGTATTTTTGTTAGATAACTGATATTTTAATGTTTTGTTTCGATAATGTTGAAAAACTGAATAAAGAGTGATCTATGTTTAGTTGATGGTTTTGAAGTTTACGAATAGTTATTGAATAGATTTGAATATGACATTATATTGCTTATTGAAACTAAAGTACATTCTTATAGTAAAGATATTGAAAATATTAGATCTGAAAACAATCAAGTACTTCTAGGCATTTCAAGAAATTTTATAATGAATTATTTGGTTGTTTATTTTAATACTTAAAATAGTTAGATAATCTTTAAACCCAATTTATAAATGATTGATCATTTCATGAGATTTTAAAGGTCATGGTTCATTTTAAATAGTTTAGTCTGAATAATTGATTCGAGTAATCAATTCTTTTACGACAAACGATAAATTTAATTAATGCATAGTCATAGATTTTCTGATATATTTGATGGGTTGATATGTTGTTAGTGACATGAAAAAGCGCTTGAGCTCTTTATCTTTCTTGTTATTTCTATATAGCAAGAAATGTAATCTTTTATGGTACTATCAGTATAATTTATGCATTTATAGTTACAGTCACGTTCAAGAACTGTTGAACCTGCTCACTAGCGAACATTCAGCAAAATGTTAACATTTTTCATTCTGATCGGCGCTGTTATCATGAAAGAAATATTAATCATTCCTAACAATAGATGTTATTTTTATGTATGTTTGTGTAAATCGTGAATATATGTCCATTGTTTTTTCTCGAACATAATGAACTAATATTCAGTTGAATATTGAGCACATAAGATTTAAACTCTGTAGTTTAAACCTACCATACTCTTTTCAAATATTAAAATCAGAATTAAATCCTTTCTGAGATTGTAAAAGCGAATTATTATTGTTATACAACGTATTATTTAGTCTATTTAAGATTTACCATAAGTAAGGCTTTATCAATAAAATTAATAGTCAGTATTAAAAATGATCATCAGATGACTGATAATGGGAATTAGAAAAATTTGAACAGAGTTTTATCAGAATTGGTAAGTTAAATGTTTTTTTATAAACATGATGAAAATAATGAAGAACATGGTAAAGTAAGACTAAATGGAAGTGACAATGGAAATCATTTCAGGGATTTAATTAATTATAAGTTATTCTGACTATTACTTCATAATAAATAGCATAGAAGAAAGAAATGTAAGTGAATGTTCACAGATCTGGCATACATGAAAATGGAAAATAGTAAACAGAAAACATGTCCATAAATGGTGAAATTTATATTAAACACATTAGTTGCAACTGAAATCTGATAAAATCTCATAAGCCAGTTATGCTATTAACATTAAAACATTCATCAAAGTTGGCTTAACGAACTAGAATTATTACAGGAACTTGTTTTTAATTATGAATATGAATTATTTGCTCTGTTTCTTTAAGATGATTATGATACATATAATTGGAACATTTATTATATTAATGATTCTTCACTGCTATAACCAGTTTCCTTTAAGTACCAGATAATCTTTAATTAGAAAGAATTAAAACTTGATAAGAAAAAGAGAATCTAACGAAGAAAATTTTCTTTTCGACGAAATCATTTACTTAAGCTGTACATTCATATATATATAGTTATCTGGAAAATATGTCTATAGAAGGATAGAATATCCTGCACCATAAATTGATCCGAGACTAAATATCAAACGAGGTTACGCAATAATCAAGGGGTAAGAAAGAAAATAATTTATGGGTCAGATAATAGTCCAATTGACAGATATGAAGAAAGGCGACAAACACAAAGGTCATAATAATAGACTGAATCATAATCAAGAAAACTTGTATAAGATAATAATAATAACTGATTAGGGTTTAAAATGTAAAATAATAATTTTAAAAATTCAATAATAATCGAACAAAAGTGCAGAAAAAAAGGAAGAAAAATCCAGAAACATATCCATTAAGGGGATAAGGGCCAAGGAAGGATGAGAGGTTGGACGAAGCTTTTCGTCACACAAAGTTCAGGCTTGAGTTCAAACTTGATAATTAACGAAAACACCTTGAACTTGGTATAAAACTAAATTACAAACTAAGTCAAATAAAAAATAATTTTGGAATTTTTCTACATTAATTATTATTCAATGAATAAAGATTTAAAAAAATCTACTTTTATGTATATAATGACTTGATCTGATTTATGAGTTTTTCAAAAGTTTTGATCGGTATCCTGTAACTTGAAACAGACTATTTCCTCCATAAACAGTCATTTTTAAGGAAATCACTTACTTTCCTTTTCTTTTTTCTTCAGGTAATATCTATTCTGTAGGACATTTCTTTAATTTTCCGTGTATCAGGTTGTAGACTTTGTAATAGATCTACAAAATGACATTTTGAGACCACGTAAGTAAAATTCTTGACCATTCTAAATAGTTGTTACGGAATAAGATTACCTACCATTTAGTGTGTCTGTACTGATATAGTTTAGTTGAAATTTAACTTGGAATAAATAAAAAGAAACTAATTACTACTAAATTCTGTGTTCAGGTAGAGTATGATTTAGAAGAAGTAGGCATTTTGTTTAATTCTGTTTATAAATTATTCTTTTTTACGATTAATCCATTTTATTTTAGTTGTGACGCAATTATTCACTGTTATTGATGGATAAACCCCCCTATTGACTATTAGAGTTATGAGCTCTAGCAAGAATATTTAGTATTCAATCTTGAAATCTATGTTACCAGTGATTACTTGATTTTAATCTAGCTGATTACCAATAAATAATAGTGTTTTTAGCAAAGTTGTTTTCTAAGAGAGTAGTTTGCCAACTTCATGGCTTAACCTTCCTGTTTTATCAGAACTTCGAACCGGCAGTAACCCTAAAAGAGTTACAAGTGGAGTTTACCGGTAAACAAATGGAGAGTAAATTATGTAGAGATGTGATAGTTTTTTACAGATGACACTGTGACACCTTTAAATACCAGAAAAAGTTTAAAAATTGGCAGTCAGAATACATTAATTTCACTTTTAAATTCAAACGATACATTAGAATAACTGTACTCGTACAATTTTTAAATTTTACTATTGTTTACAATGTTCTTCCATAATTTTTTGTAATTATTAACAGCGAACAGTATATATTTAATTAAGTGTTATAAAATACATATATTACGAAATATCGTCTAACATTTAGATCAGACAATATATTAAGTTTGAAATCAATCTGTTTGCATATACATTCATAACTGATGTGATATGAAGCTGATCAAACTAGTGGACGAATGTTAACTCATTTAAACTTGAAATTCAAGTATTCAGATTTCAAAGTTTGATAATTCTATTTTTCTCCAAGTAAATAATATCACTATTGGGTTATGAAGATTATTAAGTTTTTTGATTGAGATCATGAATCGATTGATGTTAGACCACCGTTGGAAACCTGAAAGCACTGGACGGTCATTCCGCCCTATTGTGGGACTGTCCAACAGTGCGCATCCATGATCCCGCTCGCGGGATACCAACCCAAAGCCTTCAGTCTCGCATGAGAACTCTTAACCTCTAGATCACTGGTTGGGGTTAGACATGAACATTGTTGGATGCCGGCTCAGTGGTCTAGAGGTTAGGCGTTCGCTCATGATACTGAAGGCCCTGGGTCGGAATCCCACGAGCAGGATCATGGTTGTGCACTGCTAAGGAGTCCCACAATAGGACGAAACGGCCGTCCGATGCTTATAGGTTTCCAATGGTGGTCTAACATCAATCGGTTCATGATCTCAATCAGAAAGCTTAAATAAAAATAATTTTAAAAAATAACACAGAGAATATGACGTTTAAAACGTGTACTTTAATTATGGTCGTTTAATGGTTAGTATATATTATTTAATATCAACTAGATGTTTCGTTGCGTTTTCATCAGTTTTTCACATTGATAAGTACTGTTATTTTTAGGAAAATGAAGTAATGAAAATTATGACTAAAAATGATCTTCTTGTTAAATGATCCTTGGAACTAAAACGAAACAGATATTTATTTGAACATGAAAATTCATTTTGGATGTTCGAATCTGTTTTGGTTTTTAGAATTTGTTTTGTTACTCCAGCTGCCCTATGATAGCAGTTGTTATCTAACTTGAAATATCCTTTAAACCGATGAAATGTTAAACATTAAAATGAATAAATTAAATTGAATTAGATGGATATTTTCCATCTTCTTCGAAATTTCACGATTCAAAGTTTAAAGGTGATCAGTCGAAGTATGAAAATGTCGTCTAATCTTCAGTAGACATATATAATACTGATCTATCATTGATGATGGTTTGTTCATACTGAATGGTTTGATTATGGAGCTGTTGTTGGCATTCTAAATAAGATCATCAGTGCCTACTTCACGTATCTGA